AGGGGAACCCTCCTACACTGTTGGTGGGAATGCAAGCTGGTGCAGCCACTCTGGAAAACAGTATGGAGGTTCCTCAAAAAGTTGAAAATAGAGCTATGCTATGACCCAGGAATTGCACTACTGGCTATTTACCCCAAAGATACAAATGTAGGGATCCGAAGGGGTACATGCACCCCAATGTTTATAGCAGCAATGTCCACAATAGCTAAACTATGGAAAGAGCCAAGATGTCCATCCACAGATGAATGGATAAAGAAGGTGTGGTATATATATGTATATATATACAATGGAATATTATGCAGCCATCAAAAGGAATGAAATCTTGCCATTTGTAACAACGTGGATGGAACTGGAGGGTATTATGCTAAGCGAAATAAGTCAATCAGAGAAAGACATGTATCATATGATCTCACTGATATGAGGAATTCTTAATCTCAGGAAACAAACTGAGGGTTGCTGGAGTGGTGGGGGGTGGGAGGGATGGGGTGGCTGGGTGATAGACATTGGGGAGGGTATGTGTTATGGTGAGTGCTGTGAATTGTTTAAGACTGTTGAATTATAGACCTGTACCTCTGAAACAAATAATACATTATATGCTAAAAAAAAAAAAAAAAAAGGAAAAAAAAGAAGGAGGGAGGGGAAAAAGGAAGGGGGGGGAATTGGAGGGGGAGATGAACCATGAGAGATTATGGACTCTGAGAAACAAACTGAGGGTTCTAGAGAGGAGGGGGGTGAGTGGGATGGGGTAGCCTGCTGATGGGTATTAGAGAGGTCCACGTATTGAATGGAGCCCTGGGTGTTATACGCAAAAAATAAATCATGGAACACTACATCAAAAATTAATGATGTAATGTATGGTGATTAACAAAATAAAATTAAAAAAAAAGATGTGTACACACACACACACACACACACACACACATAACAGAATATTACTCAGCCATAATAAAGAATGAAATCTTGCCATTTGCAACAACATGGATGGACCTAGAGGTTTATAATCCTAAGTGAAATAAGTCAGAAAAAAACAAGTAAGACAAGTACCATATGATTTCACTCATATGTGAAATGTAAGAAATAAAACAAAGAAGACAAAAAAAAAAGACTCTTAAATATAGAGAACAAGCTGGTTGTTATCAGAGGGGAGGTAAGTGAGGGAATGGGTGAAATTGTTGAAGAGGATCAAGAATATATTTACCATGATGAGCGCTGAGTAATGTCGGGAATTGTTGAATCGCTATATTATACACTTAAAACTAATATAATATGTTAATTATACTGGAAGGAATAAAAGAAAAAGATAGCAAACCAATAGCTGGCTGAAGGAAAGAAATAATAAAGATTAGAATAGAGATAAAATATAGAGTGAAAAAACTAATGGAGAAAAACCAATGAAACAAAGAATTGGTTGTTCAAAAAGACCAACAAAATTGAAAAACTTTAGCTAGAGTGACTTAAAAATAGAAAAGCCTCAAAACCTGTATCAGAAATGACAAAGGAGATATTACAGATTTTACAGAAATAAAACAGATTATAAGAGAGTACTATGAACAATTGTACAAATTCGATATCTCAGATAAAGTGGACAAATTCCTAGAAACACACAAAACAATTAATAGTTCTCCTCAAACTCTTCCAAAAAATTGAAGAGGAGGGAGTACTTCTAAACTCATTCTATGCATTACACCGATACCAAATCTACAAAGACTACTACAAGAAAAGTGCAGACCAATACCCATGATGAATATTGCTGCTAAAATCCTCAAGAAAAATACTAGCAGAGTTTAACAGCACATTAAAAGGATCATATACCATGACGCAGTGAGATTTATTCCTGGAATGCAAGCGTGGTTCAACAAACAAATATTAATCAATGTAATATACCACAATAATAGAATGGGGGAGAGAGGAGCCTATGATTTTCTCAATTGATACAGAAAAGGCATTTGATGAAATTTAATACCTTTTCACGATATAAACACTCAACAAACTAGCACTATTAGGTCACTAACTACCTCAACATAATAAAGACCATATTCTGAAAAGCTTAACTGAGCTAACACATTTAATGGTGAAAGACTGAATGCTTTCCCTTTAAGATCAGGAATTAGACAATTGTGTCTATTTTCATTATTTTCATTCAACATAATACTAGAAATCCTAGCCAGAGCAATTAGGCAAAAAATAGAAATTAAGAGCATCCAAATTAGAAAGAAAGTAGTAAAATTATGTCTGTTCACAAACAATATGATTTTGTAGAAAACCCTGAAGATTTCACACACAAAAATATTAGAATATGTGCATTTACCAATGTTAAAGGATACAAAATCAACACACAAAAATCAGTTGTTTTATGCATTAACAGTGAAAAATCTGAAATGGTAATTAAGAAAATTCCATTTGCAATAGCATCAAAACAAATAACATACTTGGGAATCAGCTTATCTAAGGGGTGAAAGACTTGTACACTGAAAATCAGATATTACTGTGCTCATGGATTCAAAGACTTAATATTGGTAAAATGCCAATACTACTCAAAACAATCCACGTAATTTCTATCAAAATCCCAGTGACTTTTTTTTTTTTCCGAATTAGGAAAATCCATCCTAAAATTTATATGGAATCCCAAGGGACCACAATAGCCAAAACAACCTTGAAAAAGAACAAAGAGGTTTCATACTTCTTGATTTTAAAGGTACAGTAACCAGTGTTGTACTGGCAAAAAGACCTATTAAAATCTACTTATATCCTGTAGGGCAGTTGTGAGAAGAAAAAACAAACAAAACAAACAAACAGGCTGAGTCCTTAAGGTTTATAATCAGGAGAAAATACAAGATACTCATCAAAGTACCCTGACAAGGGGCACAGGGACTCACAAGTTGAAAATACATAAATATTCAGGCAACAGGGGAGAATTCTTTAGCACCCCTTAATCAGGTTACTCTTATCTTGCCTATTTATCAAGTATATTTCCAGGTCACCTCCAAGGTTTAATATGGACTACATCCTTAGATAAATGTTTGTTTTCTGATCTCTTCAGGCAAGAAAACAACTCATGGACAATTGAAGTAATAGGTACCGAAGCCAGTTGTTTGTCCATCCCTCAGCCGGGAATGAAACTCGGGATTGCTAGCTTTTGCATCTCTGTCCCTTTGACTTCTCCTCTGTCCCCACAGCTCTCCCCTGCCATCACTAAGGGAAAATAAGTTCACAATGTAACAAGACGTGACAAAAAACTTTCCAGAGGAGAGAGCATTTTGGAGGACAGTTGTGGACTTTCTGAGTATTCTCTCAGAGTTTGAATGATGTAGTACAACTCTCTCTAAAAGAGGGAAGCAAATGCTGGGCATCTCAGAGAGGCAGGTCAGCATAGCTTTCTAAGTTCATAAAATTAATCTGCTTTTAGGAAAACGAAAGGACAGAAAATCAAAGCAAAAATTTCTTTAACCAAGGCTTCAGCAAACTATGGGTCATAGGCCAAATCTGGCTAGCCACTGGCTTTTATAAATAGTTTTATTGGGACACAACCACAGTCATTTGTTTATGTATTATCTATGGCTGCTTCACACTATAATAACAGAGAAGTTATGACAGAAACCATGTGACTTGGAAGCCTAAAATATGTATTTCACAGAAAACAGTTTGCTGACCCCTGTTTAAACTCACCATTTCAGCCTTCTTGCCTAGTTATGATCCAATGTGGCCCATCAAAGATAATGAAGATGTCTCAAAAGAAGTTTCCTCAGTATTTTGCTACAGACATCCCAGCCTTTATTGTTTTCCTGGCCTCCCCTATATTGCCCTTTTACTCACTATATCTTCAGCTATAGTTTTCCCATTTCTAAGAGAGAATACATGTAGAACCTTCTTCACTGGATTACTGTGAGAATTAAAGGAGATGGGATGAAGCGCTCCATGTAGCACTTGACACACTGTAAACATTTAGTAAGTGGTGGCTATGATTCAAATCCATCCATTCATTTAGCACATATTTATTGAGTTTGTTATGGATTGAATTGTGTCCTCTCCCCAAATTCATGTGTTGAATTATTAACCCCCATCCCTCAGAACATGACCTTCGAGGTAGGTATTTTTTTTACAATGGTAATCAAATTAAAATGAGGTCATTAGGGTGGACCCTAATCTAATATGACTGGTGTCCTTAGAAGAAGAAGATACGTAGATACAGACAAAATGGGAAGACAATGTGAAGACACAGGATAAAATGGCCATCTACAAGCCAAGGAGAGAGGCCTGGAGCAGCTCTTTCTTTCATAGCCCTTGGAAGGAGCCAACCCTGCTGACACTTTGACCTTGGACTTCTAGCTTTCAGAACTATGAGACAATAAATTTCTATTGTTTGAGTGCTGTGGACTGAATAGGTACCCCCCCAAATTTGTATACTGAAACCCTTGTCCCTAATGTGATAGCATTTGGAGATGGGGTCTTTGGGAGATAATTAGGTCCTAAGAGTAAAGCCTCTGTGGTGGTATTAGTGCCCTTATGAGAAGAGATGCAAAAGAATTTGCTTCCTTTCTCTCTCCCTCCCATGTGAGGACACAACAAGAAGGTGTCTATCTGCAAACCAGGAAGAGGGTTCTCACCAGGAATCAAACCAGTAGGCATCTTAATATTGGATTTTCCAGCCACCAAAGTTGTGAGAAATAAATTTCAGTAATGCATGCCATCCAGTGTATGGTATTTTTGTTATAGCAGCCTGAAGGAAGATATTAAGCCACCTGATTTTGATCCTTAGTTACAGCAGCCGTAGAAAGTGAATATAGATTTCAGTAAGAAAAACAAGACAGTTAAATGAGAGGTGCTACTTTGGATTAGTAACTCTTCTCTGGGGTATTTGTATTGTGACCTCAATAGTTATAAGGAGCAAACCATATGAAAATCTGGGGAAAACTCTTTCTAGCTGGAGAAATAAGTGCAAAGGCCCTGGGGCAGGGGTGAGCTTATTGTTATAACTTCTATCTCTTCTACCTTTTTCTTACCTTGAACGTGGATGATATAGATGTGATGTCTGGAACTTTAAAAACCATCTTGGGACCATGAGGTGATAGGTATAAGATCAAACACCAACATACTAAGGATGGGAGAGAAAAAAAGAAAGAAACTGATTACTTCATGAAATCATTAAACAACTGCGCCAATACCACCAACCGTCTACTCAGGATTGCTTATGCTTTGAGAAAAATTAATCCTTTTTTGTTTAAGACACAATTAGTTTTTCCATTACTTAGAGCCAAAAATATTCTTAACAGACAAAACATTGTACAATGTGGTAAGGATTACTAAACTTTGAAGGTTTTTAATCTGAGGAATGACAAAATCTGATTTAAGTTTTTAAAAGAACATTCTGTGAAATTAAGAACTGTAGAAAAACATGGTCATGGAATTCAGAAATAGATCACTTAAGGCCTTGTATGCTATGATGAGCCCAAATTTTATTCTAAATATAGTAGGAAGCTATTATAGGAAATGTCAAAACTTATTTGTATTTTTTAGAAGACATCTTTGGTTGTACAGCTAGGAGGTCATTTAAAAGGTAATTACAGTAGCCAGGAAAAATATGATGGTGATTGACAAGGGTGATATCAGTAAAGATGGATAAAATTGGAGGGAAAGAACACTACTACTAGAAGGAGAGAAACCAGTTAGCTATAATAGTCATCAGGGTGAAGGATAATGGAACCCAATGGATTGGGAACATTGGGGTGTCTTCTTGAATGGACTTGCTAATGAATTGAACATGTGATGAAGAGAGGGAAAGACAGGAGTTAAGAATAACTCATTTTTTGCCTGAGCAACTAGGTGGATAGCGATGATATTGTTGAGGAGAGGTAGGTGTAAAATTAAGAGTTCTGTTTTCAATACGTTTAAGTTTCAGATTTTAATATGAAGGAGGGGAAGGAGGAGGGGTTGGTGGGGAAGGCTCAGAAGGAACTATCATGAGAAGGGAAAACCACAACTGTGTGTTATTAGGGAAGGCAAGAGAAGATGTTTCAGGTAGGAGGCAGGGGTCATCCATTTCAAATGCTGACAGGTCAAGAAAGGTAAGAAAGGAGGAAATTTGGATTTGTCAAAGTGATAAACCTTGAAAACACAGTTTCAGTGGATTGATAATGTCAGCCCGTTCAAGTTGGGTGTAAAAATCATATTAGCTATAAAAAGGAAGAGCCAAACAATTATAATGGGGGAAGCTGGGCAAAACACCTGCACTTTGCTAGAGGCCTACATTCTTTCCCTTTTTTTTTTTTTTAAATGGTTTTTCCTGCTGTTTCCCTTTGTGCTATGTGGTCCTCTTAGCTAGGGTCCCAAGCCCAGTGAGAAGTGGTCTGGGGCCCATAGGGGGGGTGGTCCAAGACAAGGAACAGACACTGTTCTTCCTCTTGTTGCTTTTCTAATCACACGCCAGCACTGAAAGTTATCGGATCATGGTCAAAAACCATGAATTCTGAATCTTCTGCCTCTATTGTATGTCAAATCTTCAGCCTAGCATCACCTTCGTTTCGTTCTTTAATTTACTTAGTTTCTCAAAAGCAGCAGAGAACGAGTTGTATTTGTGTCAGTTTATTTTAATGTATAATGAGTGATTCAAATGATTGCACATCACACAAATTTTGTTGAATGTGTAATCAGTTAAACGAACACAGGTGCCACGCTCCGGTGTGCGCCTGGAAAAACCACCCTCTGTGCTTTGTGTGGAAAGAAGATGATGTTCTTGGCTGTACAAAGCTCATATCTTAATTTCTTTTTAATTTTGTTCTTCCTCCACTGCTTTGTTGTTTTTTTTTTTTTTTCCATCCAGTAAAACAGGCTGAGCCCTGGGTGTTGGAAGGTAGATATTTGGCCCACCAGCTAACCTGAAACCATTCTCAAACACACACAAAATGACAAGCTTGCAACTGTACGGTACATTTTTAACTTGGGGGGGTGAAACATTTTAAAACTGTGCACTTTAAAATGAGCGTTTCCTGGAAACAAGGATGAAAGAAATTAAATTATCCTCTCGAGATACCCCTGTGGGGTAAGAATAATGGCACTAGAAGTTCTTCTACGTCACTCCTGACAGTTTAGCACCAATCCTCCCAGGCAAGCTAATGTCATCCAAGCTGGCAACTTTCACTGTGGTGCTGACTGCTATGGCATTATTAATACGACCAGGTTATTTCATAATTAACTTACTTTTATTTTTCAGACAGGAACTGCACCTCGTAAAATGAAGGCACTTGGAGTTTCTCTGAATAGGCTCCCAAACTGTTTATACACCCCCCTCACTAAATCACAGTCAGAGCTCAGATGCGGGACACAATTCATTCTCACTCCCTAACCTGGTCCAGTCACTATGGGGAAGTCAGGGGTCTTTGTACATTCTTCACCACTAGTCACTAGTTACACCTGAATACGTGTTAAGAATCAGCTGAGAAACCAGGGCTTCTCAAAATGAGGTATATGGACCACTCTCACTGGACTCACCTGAAGGGCTTATTAAAAAGTATTGATTCCTGCTTGCTACCCCCACACAATCATCTCTGGAGGGAGCTGTGGCATCTGCATTTTTAATAGGCATTCCAAGGGTATGTATGCCCTCTAATGCTTAGAAGCCAATGAATTAAACGATTTTTTATGAGCTGTTTTTCCCATATGATACCACTTGCTTACCATCAAGCCATTTCCGGTGTGTGTGTGTATATCGATCCTACTCTATCACAGTGAGGATGGGTCACTAGGTGCCCAGCCAACGCCCTCTTTCTTGGCAATGCTGCATCCATGGACTCTGCAAAAGTAAGTAATGTATTTAGTGGTCATGGTGCCATCACACCCATCAAAACTGATGAGGCATGGGCTGGACAGCTGACCCAAGTGGAGTCAATTAGAGCCTGCCTCCTAATTTAAACTGAGATAGCAGAACTGCAATAAGTAGTGGTAGTCACTGGAACTGGAGAGTCATGTAGACCCTCAAGGCTGGGAGTTTGGGAACTGTGTGGATGAGCACACACAGAGAACCAGATCACAGTAAAAAGCAGAGGGTAAAGCTGATGTCTCAAAAGAAGTAAAAATGAAATATTCTGGAAAGAAAGAGAAGCTAAGCATGCGCAAGAGAGAGATGACCAAGAATGGCAATCTTGGTTCCTGAAGACTTCCCAGCTTATAATTCCAACTTCTCATAATATTCGGCTATACTTCCAGTTCTTACAATCCATTTATTTAACCTGGTGTTGGCTGGTTGCTGTTCTTTGCAACCAAATGGCCCTTTGAATTCAACAGGGGTTTTTTGCTTTTTAGCACTCATGATAAATTAAAAGTTCCTAGTTTATTACCGGGACCTTCCTGCTACATTAGTTAAAAAAAAACAAAAACAAAAGCAAAACTCTCCTGTTTTTTCCCTTGGAGAACTGCTCTTTCATGCTGCTAGGCAGAGTCCAGTTAAAGTCACAAAGCAGGGGTGCCTGGGTGGCTCAGTCGTTAAGCGTCTGCCTTCGGCTCAGGTCATGATCCCAGGATCCTGGGATCGAGCCCCGCATCGGGCTCCCTGCTCGGTGGAGAGCCTGCTTCTCCCTCTCCCTGCCGCTCTGCCTACTTGTGCTCTCTCTCTCTGTCAAATAAATAAATAAATAATATCTTAAAAAAAAAAAAGTCACAAAGCAGAATGCTGAATACGTGGGTTGCAAGGCCACTAGCCAGAGTACCTGTCGTTTATTGTTCCCTACGCTGCCTTTGGAAAAGTTGAGGGACAAGCTGTCAGGAAAAAGTCCAATTGCCTTCAGGGGTCATCTATCTGCTTCTAAGCCAACAAACACATCTATATCTTGAAACCCCATAGCTGAGATCAACTAAAAAACAAAAACAAAACAAACCCACAAAACCCTGAAATCTTCGCGTATATAAACAAAGGGAAAAAGCAGCCAGTGTTGAAAACGGCCAACATCTGGCTGGCTGGCTTGCTAATGGAGAGCGGGGAACTCAGGCTTCCGTCCACTTACTGTGTCCATTAAGCAGAGTATAGTTTTCATTTCCCCTCCAGACAGACTCCAGCGATTGGTGGAAAGGTCTAGAAGAGTGGCACCCTGCTCTCCCGCCATCCACTCTCCTCTTCCACGCCTCACTCCACTCCCCTGGCAGCTGTTCCAGAAAAGGGAGCCGGGAGCGGGAGCGCCCCAGGCCAGTCGGTGTAAGCACAGACCGCGCCGGGTTTTCAGCTGCAATTAATTTTCCCGATAAACTCCAAACCTCTGAAACACATTGGAAGTTGAAATGCTGATACAGTCATCAACCACCACCGTACACAGCCATAAATCTTGAGTACGGCTAGTTATTCGTGGGTAATAATGAAGGACAATATATGTTTAATTAGGGTGAGATTTAGGAAATGTGCGGCGTAATAAAACAATCTTCCAATTAGGGTTGAGGACACTTGTTTGAATACTATTTATACAGTACCATCGATGGAGTTCTTATAAAATACTGATATCTGCTTTAGTAGGCAAAAAAAAAAAATCCAAACAGAAAAGACAAGATTTTAGGCTGTTGAATATTAGTCCCAGGGACAGCATCAGATTAAAACCAAATGCTCAGTGGAGGTGGGGTGATGAGCGCAGGGGTGGGGGTGTGGGGGGAATGGAATCCCAGCGTGAAAGCCTTAGCTTGACTGTTAATACAAGTCTAGCCTGTCCTCACACCTGAGTTTATTTTCCTGCGAATGTATGCTCTAAATCCCCTGATTTCCTGCTCAAAACCCATCATCTGTTACCTAGGGATGTCACCTGTAGCCATGTCCAAAGATGCTGTGATTTTTAATGAAGCATTTCACGAGAGTCCCCCAAATCCTGCCTGCAAAGGAGGCGGTAATCTAAGCCCTCTGTGAAAAAACAGCCTAATGGGAGGAAATCACCTGGGTCAAGAAATTTAGATTCTAATCCCAGCCTTGACTGCAAAGTTCTGTGTGACCTTGAGAAAGTCAATTAATGCCTCTGTGCTTCAATATCCTTATGAAAACTGAGGATAGCTGGGTTTCATTTGGGCAAAATTTTATAGATAATCAGATAATTCTTATAATGAATGGGAGTAAGAAGTGATGCGAGAAAACAAAATTACATAGCCTCTTCCTCCCTGTGACATATATATACACACACAGGCAGACACATACAGACAAGCACATATAATAATTGGAAGAAAAAAGTAGTTTTTTAGCTTATTGAATTGGTTTTTGTTTATCTTTTATTTTTTCAAAAAGTTTTTATTTATTTATTTATTTATTTATTTATTTATTTATTTATTTATTTATTTATTTGACAGAGAGAGAAAGAGAGCGCCTGCACAAGCAGGGGGAGGGGCAGAGGGAGAGGGATTAAACAGGCTCCCCACCGAGCAGGGAGCTGTCCTGGGACTTGATCCCAGGATCCCAAGATCATGACCTGAGCTGAAGGCAGCCACTTAACCGACTGAGCCACCCAGGTGCCCTGGTTTTTGTTTATCTTTTAAAGGGAAAATGTGAAGATTCCTTAAAGTCAGGGCACTTAGTATTTAGAGATAGTTTATTTTTAATTGTAAATCAGAAAATGTCCCTGGATTTAACAATCCACCTTAAAAGGGTAAAAATAATTTTAATATCTGCTAAAGTAAAATGTAGATAATAGGAATTTTTTTGAAGCTGCTCTTCTGGAAAAATAGATCTACATGTATTTTAAATTGGATTCAAAAGACCAAGTATAAAGTTTTTGTGTGATTTTGGGTAAGTTAATTAACCCTTCTGTGGCTCTGTTTCTCATTTGCAAAAACACTGCCTTACTAAAAAAGTATTGAGGAGTAACTTGGCCGGACTAACCTCATTTTTTTCTCTTCATTTGGAAATGTAATTATATGAATATAAATAATATAGAATTTCATATCTGGCAGAGTCCTTAAAAGACACCTAATCTAAATCCTTCCTTTTGTAGATAAACAAACTGAGGTCCAGAGAGATTGAACGATTTGTCCAAGGTCCCACAGGTGGCCAGGTCTTGCCTGTTCCTGTGTTTCTGCCCCGACACGGCTGCCTCATGGATTTGAAGGAGTTAATGCCCCTCCAAACAATAATCAGGGGAGTCTATTCATAGCCAACTAGTACAATTTATCTCAATTGTGCAGTACTGCATATTTATAAAGATATTGCCAATCTTTTTTTAATATTGAAACTATATCAGGTGATATTACCATTATTTTGACAGTCAGCTAGAAATCCCAGAAAGAGATATTAACAGCTTATCATTTTAGAACACCTCATAACACTATTAGGAAGAGTGATTTTGACATTTTTATATGATTAGGTGTGGTTTGTTGTAAACACTGCATTTGCTTAGCTAAAGTCTATTTTATCCATCCTTGATTTCTGCAGAGAAGCCTCACCAATTTAAGATAAGTTCACAAAACAAGCAAAACAAACACTGAAGGCAAAATAACGGTGCTCTGGTATAACACCTAATTAGTATGGGTTTCTTGTAGGCCATGTTTTACTTGTCCTGTCAGCCACTGGGAAGGACCTTTGACCACAGGTTCATTGAATCCTCAGCTAATATTCATCTTCTTCTAAATTTGATTTATCTACCTTGGGTGAAGTTAATGGATTATAAAGGTGGTTTCCTAGCTTTTGGATTCATATGCCATGAAACTTCTGTACTTAACTCCTGCACTCCACCAAAATTAGGAACATAGATAAGATTTCTAACTTTCAATTTCCAACTAAGTAAGAAAAAAAAAACATAGCTAACCAACTATCATGTCATTTGAAAAAAGAAACAATTTAAACAAAAAAGAGATAATACCACATCCTCAAAATAAAGAAGTATCCAAACTGAATACTCTGACTTTATAAAACACTAGCCACTGTGTGCTTATTTTACAATCAGACAGTGATGATTCCATCACAGAAATCATCCAATAAGGTATATTTCAGATGTGTCATTGATTAAGAGAACTTAAATGTATTGGACAAAATGCATCTACATTATCTGTTTAACTTTCTAGTCCCTTAAACGGAGAAGTCAGTGAATTACCTGTGTTTAATATTTAAAAATGTCTGAGCTGCACCCCAGTCTTTTGGAGGTGAGTCAGAACCTCTGCTATCCTAGGTGTGATTTTTTTTTTTTAAGATTTTATTTATTCATTTGAGGGAGGGAGCAACAGAGAGAGAAGAGGGAGAAGCAGACTCCTCGCTGGAGGGGCAGAGGCAGAGGGAGAAGCAAACTTCCCCACTGAGCAGGGAGCCCAACCTGGGACTCGATCCCAGGACTCTGAGACATTGACCTGAGCCCAAGGCAGACTTTTACCCAACTGAGCCATCCAGGTGAACCCCTTGGTGTGGTCTTATTGTGGAACGGCAGCTGTACAAGAAGCCAAGCAAAATCACTCAAGAATATTTAAAGTCTTTGTATTGTGACATTCCATTGGTCCAGCCCAACATCAGTGAGACAAGAAAATATGCTGTTCCTGCTCTTGTGGGAGCAAAGTCAACACAACAAGAGCACAGATGTCTCATAATTCTATAACAAGGTATGAGATAAAGAATTGGAACATAATCCAATATACTTCAGCTTTCACATCTTCACATGTGCCATATATACAAATAATGATGGTCTAACCTCATCATCCAAGCAAGTAGGCAAGATTCCTATTCTTCCAAATAACAATTTCCTTAGGAGTATTTCCAGAGAAATACACATATTAGCAGGCCTACTGTTTGGTTTCCATCCTACAAAGTAGGTGGTCTGTCATATTTTATATCATGAACAAAGTTTGCCT